GAGCCACCACCGGGCCGAAACCGACGTTTGCTTCGGTGGTCTTTCTGTGTGGAAGGCCGAGCGGAAGGCCGAGCGGAGGGGGATGCCGGTCGATCGCCCTTCCCTTGCCGTTCGAGCGCAGGCGCCGTGTCTGTTTCCGCGACCGGTGGCCTCCATCGCTTCGGTCCCAGACGCACCCGGATTCATCGCGGGGTGTGGTGTGGTGTCGTGTGGTGTGGTGTCGTGTCGTGTCGTGTCGTGTCGTGTGGTGTGGTGCAGGGGTCATAATTTAGAGGGGTGTGCAACGCGAACGATTTTCAGCATAAGGATGAAAAAAATTCCATTCCATCCGTGGCACGTACCAATAAGAAAATTTCTACTGCATAATACTAGTAAAACTATTCAACTTGTGAGTAGTCATAACTTTATCAAAAATACCACTATAATAATTTTAAACTATTGCACCTATACCACCTTTTTGTGAGGATTCTGAATTTACCATTTTCTTTGATATCAAATGAATTGTTGTGCTATCATTTTATTGTTCATAAAAGACCATTTTACTACTAGTACTACTACTACTACTAGTAGCTGTAGAACCACTACTGGTGATTTCGAAGGCAAAATGGATGAAGGACAGACAGTTCGAATTTTTGCTAGGGACTGGACTGGTTTCACAAAATTGGATGAAGGGCAGACTATTTGTACTAGAATTAAGAATTACAGTACTAATGTGGTGGTACTACCAGCCCTACTATATCAGTACATCAAACAAGAACAAACAACAAACAGCAATAACATCCAAGAAACACTTACTACTTGACTCTCAACTGTATGAGAGATGTGCATATGAAGTTTGAAAATCAGAGAGTGATTGGAAGTGTTCCTGTGCATGAGGTCTTTCACGTCACAGGTACACTTTATGCAGAGTTACTATGCAGTAAAAATGAGATAAAAAAAAACTTTGTGGGAATTTTTTCTTATTGGTGGTACCAAGGATGGAATATCGATTTCGACGCGTTGCACACCCCTCCTAAATTATGACCCCTGGTGTGGTGTGGTGTGGTGTGGTGTGGTGTGGTGTGGTGTGGTGTGGTGTGGTGTGGTGTGGTGTGGTGTGGTGTGGTGTGGTGTGGTGCCGGTTGGATCGCGGTGCTGCGCTGCAGCAGGGAGAAAAAAGGGGTTGGAATCAATCCAACACAAACCACCAAGGGTGGGTGCTGCATTGATGCCATCCATCCCCACCATGGGAAAACGAACCGTACCACGTACCCGTACTAGGCATCGTACTCCAAACCCTTCTAGCAACCAATCTGAGCACGTCAAGTGAATCCTCCAGCGAGTGATAGATCCAAGGCGAGGGTATTAAATGAAGCTACTGTCCCCACTGATAGATCCGAAATATCATCATTGTCTGACTGTGTTCGACATAGCCACTCGTACCACCAGTAGCAGCTCTTCCAGCAACCAATCTGAGCAAGTTAAGTGTGTTAAGTGCATTAAGTGATCCTCCAGCGAGTGATAGATCCAAGGTGAGGGTATGAAATGAAGCTACTGTCCCACTGATAGATCCGAAATATCACTGTCTGACTGTGTTCGACATAGCCACAGACGCAGAAAAAAGAGTACCACGGTACTAGTACTTGGGTACGGTCAGGGGTCATAGTCATAAATTTAGACCCCTCTTCCCGACAGCGTTCGTGCCGGCCGGTATAAAGCCTGACAAAAACAAATACTTAAATATATGCACGTCTGAAGTCTAATACGATTTTACTTTAACACGGGAATCACCAAAATATCGTTGCTGGAACACTTTCCTTTTTTTCCTTTCAACCCGTTTCAAACCATCATTTTTCATTTACTTATAGTCTTCGACAGGTGTTTTGGATCGCTTATCAATTCAAATTACGAAGTATTGGTTGGTACCAGTACCTTCTGGTGGATTTCGGTTCCACGTGCTGCGTGCAATCTGGCATGCCGTACGAACCCCACGAGTGCCGTACAGAAGGATAGGATTTATTGACTCAGTTCTACTTCTAACTCGTACGCGTAATCGTACAATTCTACAGTACGAACCTCGACTGTACTTGGTACCTCTTCTTCGTCAAGTCGAGGAAACAGACTCAACATCTACTTCGAACCGTCGAGAATTCTGTCTATAAACACAAAATAATCTGGTTTATCACTGTAATTTTCAATAGTTGTGATTCGATTGGAAGAAAGCCTCCCGGTAAGTTCTCTTTGTTTCGTTCTTCCGAGCCCTGGAGAGATCATTTTAGGATAGGAGTGAAAACCTCGGTGCATGCCATCCGAGGCAACAACCTCGTCAAATGACGCGGGCACATTTGGATTGACTGTCGCCGCTGCCGTGTCTGCCGCAGGTGCAACCACGAGACCGTTCAACCCTTCTTCTTCTTTGTTCGACGGTTGGATGGAGACCGAAAAATGCGTGCTAGATTCATGGCGCAGGCACATAGGAATGGACCACACACCGCAACGATGGTGGTTGCGGCGTTGGTCCATTCGTGTGTGTCTGTCGCAGGTGCAACAACCACGAGATCGTCCAACCCTTCTTCTTCTTCTTTGTTCGACGGTTGGATGGCGACCGAAAAAAGCGTGCCAGATTCATGGCGCAGGCACATACGAATGGACACCAACACCGCAACGATGGTTGTTGCGGCGTTGGTCCATTCGCGTGTGTCTGCCGCAGGTGCAACAACAACGAGATCGTCCAACAAGATCCTTCCCAGCAAGATTCATGCACGGCGATAACGCAACACGACATCCGTTCGGTCCGGATGCACGCATTGCGGTGCCGATGGAGGAGGTCGATGCGGTATGTTCGGTGTCCTGTTGGAGGCGCGTGAGTGTTGG